TGGGATTTAACAACTATAAAACTATATAACTACAAAGACAATTTTTACACCTACAGAAAGAGTGGTATCCAAATTAACTTTTAAATATGCTGGCAGGCAATTATATGCCTCATTTCACAATTAACTTGATCTTAATTACTCCTTCTTGAAAGAAAGCCTAATCAATGTTAGTGAAACATACTTCTGGCTTTGTTTTAGGGTAAGAATATATTATTTCCTAAGATGTACATATCCACTGAATACAATAGAAATTCTAAATGTAAATGTTTACAATTAAATTAAAAGAGTAAGTAATAATATTTTAAAACAGCAGTTAATTACAAATGCTTACCAATAGCAGCTTTCCCCCAAATTTGTACCCTGAAGTCTGTGGGTTCCTGTTGCAATGATATCTTTTTCAGCAACTGAAGGCTACTTGCAGATTTCTGCTGCAAATAATTCTTCTCATCAACTTCCCAAGGATTCCATTCTTCAACTCCCAAAACAGCATGTTCTAGGAATCAAAAACAAAAAAACCCCATACAAACACCTCATACTGATTGTCTCAAAGAGAGACATTTTACTCCAATATGTCCTTGAAATAATAAGAGATTGTTATAAACCCATTTAGTACACATACCAAAAATGAAATATCAGAAATGTGTAAATGGTTTTCCAAATCATGAAAGCATCTACATTAACCATGATATCTTCAGATAGGGACTCATCTGAAATCTTTGCCATTCAGGACAAATAGCACAGGCAGTCCTTGTTTAGCAACCAAAATTGGGACTGTCAATTTGGTCGTTAAGCAAAGCAGCCACTAAGTGAAACTGTGACTGTGCTTATGATCTTACTTCAGCTTTCCTTTACTTTACAGACCTGTGAAGGTTATAAATGCGAGGATTGGTTGCAAAGTTTTTCATCATCACTGTAACTGCGAACAGTCACTGAATGAGGCAGTTGTTAAATGAGGACTACCTGTACTGAACTAGACAGACCAATGGCCTGATTCTGTCCCTAAGTTAAAGCTTTCTCTTGGTCTCCATTCCCACCTGTCAGATATCCTCAATAATTGGGCTAGCTCAATAGAGTTCATTAAGAATGTAATAAATTTCTGACTGATGAATTGTAACTCCCTTCAGACCCCAGTACTTCAATGTTTAAATGGCAGTTACATTACTTCTGATATGCTGTCTACATTCAACTCTCAAAGCATCTCTGATGTGTTGGGCATGTATGTTTGCTAAATTAGTAAAAAGAAGTTCCAAGTCCAACAATGCTTATTAAACAAATTTAGTGCGATCTACTCATTTCCCTCTAACTTTTACCAGTTACAGGTAGACCTCAACTTATGACCATTAATTCAGTGACCAGTCCTCAGAGTTCTGACCGTCCCAGCATTCCTGTGGTCACGATTGCGATCTGGGTGCTTGGCAACCAGCTTGCACAACCGGTTGCAGTACCTTGCAATCACGTGATTGCCATTTGTGACCTTCCCTGCCTTTATCTCATAGAGAAGAAAAACAAGCTTCCAAAGCCAGAAAGGATCTGCTGGTGGGAGCAAAACAATCTACAGAGGTACCTCTGAGTTAACCAGATTATGCTTTAATGTTGAAGAAAAAAAGAAAAAATAATTACTACTTCAATTATTATCATCATCATCATCATCATTATTTTGGTGCTTAGTTAGTCTTGACTCCTGGTGACTGCCTGGGCAAGTCTCTGCAGTTTTTTTGGCAAGTGCTTTGCCACTGCCTGCTTCCTAGGGCTGAGAAGGAGTGACTGGCCCAAGGTCACCTAGCCAGCTTTGTGCTTAAGGCAGGATGAGAACTCATGGTCTCCTGGTTTCTAGCCTGGGGCCTTAACCACTACACCAAATTGGCTCTTTCTATAAGAATATAATTGTGGGAAACCAAACTGGCTATACCATTTCAGTTACAAACTGTTAGTGGTTAAACAGAAAAAAAGATATAACTCCAAATGTGCAAATGGACCTGTTCTCCTATCTTTCCGTTATTTTTAATTTTTAACAGTACCATTGTAGAACAAACCTAATATAAAGGTAGTCTCCAGTTTAAGAATGAGTTCTGTTCTGAAGGTCTGTCCTTAAGTTGAATTTGTATATAAGTCAGAACAGTACTATTATAGAATACTGTATAAGTGGTATTGTGTAATGAACTCGAACCACTGTGTATTTAACTCAAATTTTGCTACAATAGGCTCTGTTCTTAACTATGGGTTGTTTGTAACCTGGGTATTCTTAACCCAGGGACTACATCTCATACTAAAAGACATTTCATTAAGAAACATAAAGACTTCAAAGATACTGCAGAGCAGTCCAGATGTTAATGCTGTAGTAGCCAGATCTTGAGATGTGAAAGCTAAAACACAACAGTTAACTAGAGGAGGATATGCAAGTCCCCGCGAAGGATTACTTGAAGCTATAGAACATATGCAACAGAGAGGCCGGGATCACAGTTTGCCACGCGCTGTGCTTCTCAATGCGTAAAAAGAGAAGGCGCGACTAAGCGGATAAGCACTCAGCCGATGCGGATCTATTGAGTTCAGCCAGCCTTACAGCCAGCCTTGAAGCCGAAGCCTGAGGGGCAGAAAAGGAGTCTATCTCCATCTGATGGCGCTGAGAGGAAGGGCGGAGCGCCCCCGTTTCCTTACCTCGCCCCTGCTTCTCCCGCTGGCCCGCCCGTGCGTCAGCAGGCCGGCGAGGCTTCAGAAAGACGCTGTAAGCCGCGTAGAGGGAAAAGACCAAGTAGGCGATCAACAACGCGGAGCAGAACCGCTTCCGAGTCAGCCGCATCCTTCACAGCCCAACGGGGGCAGCCATCTTTCGCAGGGGGAGAAAGACCCCGCGCCGTGACGCCACGCTTGGCCGGCTGCTGCTTTTGCCTGATGCGAATTGAACTTGGGTTTGCTTGCCGTAGTGTTGTTTCCAACTAGGCCGCTTTAAGCGGCGTGGACTTCAACTCCCAGAATGCTCCAGCTAGCATGCTGGGAAATTCTGCTTGCTGGTGGGGAAATTCTGGGAGTTGAAGTCCACGCCCCTTAAAGCGGCCAAATTTGAAAAAAAGTG